CCTTGCCTGGTGGGCGGCGCAGCTGAGCGGGCACGCAACGGTGGCGCCTGGGAGAAGCGAGGCGAGGGGATAGGCAACCAGGTGTAGAGGCGGAGGAGGGGCCGAGACCCCGGAAGAGGGAGGAGGCGGCGCGTTCGGTGCTGTCAGCTGCGCAGGCGCCGGGGCCACGCCAATCGCGATACGGAGGCAGGCGCAGAAAGAAACAGAGCGGCGGCCCGGGTTCTGCACAGTCAAACAGTGCAGGCGTGCAGGCGGCCCGCCTCCTCCTCCACCCTCCTCCGCCTCCTGTGTGCGCTGTTGCCAGCCCCCCGACCTCCAGCTGAGGAGTCAGATCGTGCAAGGCCCTTTTTTCCTCACGAGCGAGCTGTTCTGCCATCCCGGAGGTACGACTCTCCATGGGCGAGGGACAGACAGACATGCTCAGTTACGTAAGCCCCGACGCCTCCAGCTTTGGGGCAGCACGTCAGGCAGAGCGAGCTTTCTGGCCGCCATCGTCTGTGGCCCCCCGGGCGCGCGTCAGCACGCAGCACTGTGGGGCCTGGAGGAGAAAATCAGGAGTGCGCGCAAGCCTTGCCTGGTGGGCGGCGCAGCTGAGCGGGCACGCAACGGTGGCGCCTGGGAGAAGCGAGGCGAGGGGATAGGCAACCAGGTGTAAATCGAGCACCCAAGGGGGGGGGGAAGGCCCAGCGAGGCGGAGGAGGGGCCGAGACCCCGGCAGAGGGGGGAGGCGGCGCGTTCGGTGCTGTCAGCTGCGCAGGCGCTAGGGCCACGCCAATCGGGATACGGAGGCAGGCGCAGAAAGAAGCAGAGCGGCGGTCAGGGTACTGCACAGTCAAACAGTGCATGGCCCGCTCTCTATGACACCGCTCCTAGCGGAACCATTACATTTTGGAGGAAGGAAAAAATGACATGAGCGTGCACGGGGAGAAACGAAACTCGCATGCACTCTAGGATAAGGAAGGCCGTCAAGAGGTGGCTCCAGGTCAGGGTCCCAGTCCTAATGACAATGGATAGCCTGTTGGAAAACTACACTTGCCAACCCCCGCAATCACATATCACAGTGCATGGTCCTCAGCAGCTGCAATGGGTCTTGAACAGGCCGACCATGCGATCCTTCCCGGCGCGCCGGGCGAGCTCCAGGCTCCAGGCTCGCAGCAACTCCAGCACGAGCACTTCGCAGCCAGCGCGCCGCCCCCGGGCGCCGACATCTTGGAAGCCGCGCTGAGGCCCAGGTGGTCCACAGCACCGCAGCTGCAGAGGTGTGCGATAAGCAGCGGGCCGCAAGAGGGTCGGAACTGGGGAAACCAGAAGGTACCGATACCGCTGCTCCCTGGACCTCTGCCGGGGTGCGTTCTGACCAGGATTTCGAGGCGAATCCAGCCGTGGCGACGAGGGCCTACCAGGAGGCCGAGATAGGGGAAAACGAGGGAAGCGTAGCGGTAATGGGCACCTGTTCCTCCTCCGAGGAACTCCCTGGCTCTTGGGCCAGGCTGCGGACCCCCTCTCTCTCTCCTCGCCCTCTTCCACTCCACGATTCGCCTCCACCCGCTCTCCCTCGCCCCCCGCCCCCACCCGTCCGCTTCGTGCACCCCCTCTCTGGCTCGCCCTCACTCTCGGCCCTCTGCTCCCCTCCCGAGGCACTCACTTCCCCACTCCCTGCTGCATCAGACTGCTGGGAGCCATGTGCCTCGAAACGATGTCCGCGTCCTGGCTTCTGCAGAACAACTCGTCCGTGTGCCCCCGATATTAATAGCGATAACGATGACAACGATAATTACGGGGACAACGATAATAACGTTAGGTCGGGCCTGTCCCCCTACAGGGGGCTGTTCGACGAAAAAAATAAATAAAAAACACCCCCAAAATGCTCAAAACAGAATCCAAAAATAGTCTGGGGACTATTTGTTTTAGCATTGTTTGACCTTTTTGGGGCATTCGTTTGGTATTTCCTATTTTTCGCCGGAAATCCCCCTGTAGGGGACAGGCCCGACTTAAAAACAACGATTACGATCACAACGATAACGATCGGGCCCGTTTAAGCCTATTCAGGTGGCTCCACGGGGGCCTCGCGGTGAGGAGAGCGAGATCCCAGATTCCCATCGGGAAGCTTAAAGGAACTCACTGCATCCAGAAGCGCTCTGTTGCTGTTCCCGTGATTCGAGGCCTCATGAAAGCGTCCTCGAAGCCTCGCAACCACTTCGGTCGGACCGATCGCAACTGGCTGCGATCGGTCCGAAGTGGTCGACGATCGGTCCGAAACGGTTACGATCCTTCGTCGTCGTGGTCGCGGGCGGGGGGTGAGGGGCGACTCAGACCCCCGACGTCGTGATTTTTGTCGCGACGTCGACCCCCAGGGGTCTGGACCCCTTCACTGGGGCTGGCTTCTGTCCTGTCCGTAAACTAACCGAAATACAAACAAAATGTGCTGAGACGGAAACTCATACCACCACAAAACATCGGACGAATCACACCTGTTCACACGCCGTGTCCATCCTGCACCGTTCTTTGACGGCCCCAGGCCCGGCAGAGGCCCCCATGGGGGCCCAACGCAGCGAAGGAGCACTTCCGTCGCGCATTGTCTCGCCACGCGAGGGGGGGGGTTCTGGGGAGGACGGGGGGGCGCGGGACGCGGGAGGCCGCGGGGGCAGGCGGGCGGAGGGGCGAGAGCGGAGGCCACCGCGGCCCCGCGGCGGGAGAGCCCACAGTCGAGCTCGACAGGTCGGATCGGCGATCGGGCGGAATCGGAACGGCGGAAGTCGGCAGCCGAGTCGGGAGAGAAGTCGAATCGGCAGACATCGGCAGACCAGTGGGCCTCCGTTGTTGAGGAGTCGGCATCCAGAGCGGGGCCCGAAGCCGACTCGAAGGGAACCGGAACCCCTCGAGGCCGAAGCCGAAGCGAACCGGAGAAGCCGAAGCGAGCCCTTAGTGGGCCCTGGAAACGACAGGGCCGTTTTTTTACTGGTTCCGTTTTGTCGTTTTTGCCGGTTACGCCGCAATTTGTTACAGGTTCTGTCGCCGTTTTTTGACCGGTTCGGGCTCCAGCTCCAATCCTGGAGCCGTTTCTTTGCCGTTTCCAGTCGCCGTTGGTTTGCCGTTTCCATTTTCAAGGGACATTTTTGTGGAGGGTATGTCCCCCTACAGGGGGCACACCCAAGGGAAACGAAAGATGTCATAAGCATGGGAAAATCCGAGGGGAGCATCCTAGGGGAATCTCCTACCGCGGATGCGCAGACCTGAAGATCCGACGCTGCATGGCTGCAAAAAACATGCGACATCGGAAAATCACGACTGGAGCCTCAGACCCTACCTTTCTGCGTCATTTTTCGAGCCGGATGGATCTGCGAGGGTCCTGGGGCCCGAGATTGAACGAAAACGCCAGACGCGATAAAATTGCAACGCCAGGATCTCGGGGACTAGGGTGAAAGCAGAAGCCCGCCTACAGGGGCAACATCCTAGAGGGAAAGAAGGGTGTATAAGCTTCCTTAGGGAAATCTAGGGGAATATATCATATCGGTATCCTAAGGGAATATCCCCTGAGATCCGACGTTGCAAAAAAAATTCGACATCGGAAAACATCACGACTGGAGCCTCAGACCCTACCTTTCTGCGAAATGTTTCGGGCCGGATCGATCTGTGAGGGTCCCGGGGCCCGAAATTGAACGAAAACGCCAGGCGCGATAAAATTGCAACGCCAGGATCTCGGTGCCCTAGGGTGAAATCAGAAGCCCGCCTACAGGGGGAAATATCCTAGGGGAACGAAAGGTGTCATAAGCATGGGAATATCCTAGGGGAACATCCTAGGGGAATGTCCTAGGGTATCCTAGGGTATCCTAAGGGAATACCCCCTGAGATCCGACGTTGCAAAAAACATGCGACATCGGAAAACATCACGACTGGAGCCTCAGACCCTACCTTTCTGTGTAATTTTTCGGGCCGGATCGATCTGTGAGGGTCCGGGGGCCCGAGGTTGAACGAAAACGCCAGGCGCGAAAAAACTGCAAAGCCAGGATCTGTGGCCCTAGGGTGAAATCAAAAGCCCGCCTCCAAGTGGAAATATCCTGAATAACCCACAGGGTAAAAAATCAGCAACCCGCCTGCAGACGAGCCCCGACGCGGTGCTCGAGGCCGGCCCGCGCGGGAGGCCGGCCGGGCCCTCCCGCCGAGCAGACTTGGCTCCACAGGATGGAAGGAGGAGGAGGAGCAGGAGCCGCTTTGTCCAAGACATGTCGAATCCAGGCGTCCTCATGCGACTTCCAGTCGCGCCTGCTTCTGGCCACTTCCATCCAATCACGGTTCACCATACCATAGAATCTAGTGAACTGGCCTTCCCAGTTCCAAGGGCTGAATCTTGAAAAACCCTGCCCGTCCGAAGCTTTGCGGACGTTCTGACGAGCAACGCGCTGACAGTTCCACTGCAGCACCTGCGAAGTTAAACGACATGGGTCGTACTCACTCTGTCGAGCCACGTGGCCTGCGTACCTATGATGATGGCGGTGATGATGATGCTGGTTATGATGATGATGATGATGATGATGATGATGATGATGATGATGATGATGATGATGATGATGATGATGATGATGATGATGATGGTGATCGGGCCCCCCTCACAGCGTACAACCACAACCGTACGAGCTGGGGATAAACTTCCCCCTCAGAAGGCGGGCCCAAATGTGTGCGCTGTTGCCAGCCCCCCGACCTCCAGCTGAGGAGTCAGATCGTGCAAGGCCCTGTTTCCTCACGAGCGAGCTGTTCTGCCATCCCGGAGGTACGACTCTCCATGGGCGAGGCACAGACAGACATGCTTAGTTACGTAAGCCCCGCCGCCTCCAACTTTGGGGCAGCACGTCAGGCAGAGCGAGCTTTCTGGCCGCCATCGTCTGTGGCCCCCCGGGCGCGCGTCAGCACGCAGCACTGTGGGGCCTGGACGAGAAAATCAGGAGTGCGCGCAAGCCTTGCCTGGTGGGCGGCGCAGCTGAGGGGGCACGCAACGGTGGCGCCTGGGAGAAGCGAGGCGAGGGGATAGGCAACCAGGTGTAGAGGCGGAGGAGGGGCCGAGACCCCGGAAGAGGGAGGAGGCGGCGCGTTCGGTGCTGTCAGCTGCACAGGCGCTAAGGCCACGCCAATCGCGATACGGAGGCAGCGCAGAAAGAAGCAGAGCGGCGGCCCGGGTACTGCACAGTCAAACAGTGCAGGCGTGCAGGCGGCCCTCCTCCTCCTCCACCCTCCTCCGCCTCCTGTGTGCGCTGTTGCCAGCCCCCCGACCTCCAGCTGAGGAGTCAGATCGTGCAAGGCCCTTTTTCCTCACGAGCGAGCTGTTCTGCCATCCCGGAGGTACGACTCTCCATGGGCGAGGGACAGACAGACATGCTTAGTTACGTAAGCCCCGCCGCCTCCAGCTTTGGGGCAGCACGTCAGGCAGAGCGAGCTAGCCGCCATCGTCTGTGGCCCCCTGGGCGCGCGTCAGCACGCAGCACTGTGGGGCCTGGAGGAGAATATCAGGAGTGCGCGCAAGCCTTGCCTGGTGGGCGGCGCAGCTGAGCGGGCACGCAACGGTGGCGCCTGGGAGAAGCGAGGCGAGGGGATAGGCAACCAGGTGTAGAGGCGGAGGAGGGGCCGAGACCCCGGCAGAGGGAGGAGGCGGCGCGTTCGGTGCTGTCAGCTGCACAGGCGCTAGGGCCACGCCAATCGCGATACGGAGGCAGGCGCAGAAAGAAGCAGAGCGGCGGCCCGGGTACTGCACAATCAAACAGTGCATGGGCCGCTCTCTACGACACCGCTCCTGGCGGAACCATTACATTTTGGAGGAATGAAAAAATGACATGAGCGTGCACGGGGAGGAACGAACCCCGCATGCACATCTAGGATAGATGCAGGCCGTCAAGAGGTGGCTCTAGGTCATGGGTGCCAGTCCTAATGACAGATGGATCGCCTGTTGAAAACTACACTTGCCAACCCCCGCAATCACATATCACAGTGCCTGGTCCTCAGCAGCTGCAATGGGTCTTGAACAGGCCGGCCATGCGATCCTTACCGGCGCGCCGGGCGAGCTCCAGGCTCGAGCGGTGCCCTCTGCTGGGGTCGCCGTGGCACGCCCGCGGGTCCGCGCCCGCGGCCAGCAGCGCGGCGGCCAGGCCCAGCTTGAGCTCCGCGGCGGACTCTTACGCCGAGGAATCCACTCGGCGGCGTCAGGAATTCCCAGCCAGTCGGTGGCAAGGATGCTCTCCCTCCGCGGCGCCGAGCTGAGGAGCTGGAGCGGGGATTGCCCCGCGACGTTCGTCTCGTCGGCCCTGGCGCCGTTCTCGGTCAGCAGCCTGACGATCTCCTCGCCGCACCCCAGGCGGATCGCGGCGCAGAGTGGCAGCTCGAAGCGAGGCTACCAGAACGGCGTCTTGGCCGCATCCGAGTCTGCCTCGAGGGCGAGGCGCACCTGCTTCAGGCAGTTCTGCTGCAGGCCCAGGAATAACGGATCCGCGCGAGTGCGTCTCAATGGCGGCGGTGCGGTCGGCACCCTGCGGCATGCACGCGGTGTACTGGGCGGCGTCGTGCGGGATGTCTCACCAAACGTCATCGCGCTGTGAGTCTCGCGCAGTACAGATTTGCAAGGTTGGCAAAATCACTGCAGGAGGAGGAGGAGGAAAAACACTGAAACCAGGAAGGTAATTATGACTTAACTCCGAAGTTAAGTGATTCTCTCCTTTTGTATTGCTACCACCTTCACGACGACTTACCTCCGCAGTTAAGTCACTCTATGAGTGCTGCTTCCACCCGGCCGCAAAATCACTTAACTCCGGAGTGAATTGATTCCGCGGGCCGCCCCTGCCCTTCACTCGGCCGGGAAAAAACGAAAAGGGAGGGTTGCAAAAGGGAAGGACCGGGAAGGAAAAAGGTTGGAAAAAAGGAAAGAAAAAGGGAAGGAAAAGGGATGGAAAAGAGAGGGAAACAGGAAGGGAAAAGGGAGGGACAAGACAGGGAACAAGGGAGGGAAAAGAGATGGAAAAAGGAAGGGAAAAGCGAGGAAAAAGGGAGGGAAAAAAGGGAAAATAAAGGAAACAAAGTATGGAAAAAAGGGATGGAACACATGATGGAAAAAGGCAATGACAGGGAAGGAAACGGGAGGGAAAGGGGAGGGAAACGGGGGGAAAAGGGATGGAAATGGGAAGAAAAAGGGAGGGAAAGGAAAAGGACAGAAAAAGGGAGGGAACAGGGAAGGAAAAGGGAAGGAAAGGGGAAGGAAAAGGGAAGGATAGGGGGGGGGAGGGGGGAGGGAGGGAAAAGGGAATGAAAAGGCAGGGAAAAGGCTGGGAAGGACAAGAGAGGAAAAGGAAGGGAAAATATATGGAAAAAGTGGCGGGAAAGGGAGGGAAAAGGGAAGGAAGGGAAAATGGGAGGGAAAACGGTAGGGAAAGGAAGGACAAGGAAGGGAAAACGGTAGGGAAAGGAAGGAAAAGGAAGGGAAACGGGAGGGAACATTTACGAAAAAGGATAGAAAATGGAAGGACAGGGCGGGAGGGAAAATAAATCGAAAAAGGGAGGGAAAAGGGAGTGAACAGGAATGGACAATATAAAGAAAAAGGAAGGGAAAAGGGACGGAAAAAGGATGGAAAAGGGAAGGAAAATGGAAGGGAAAAAAGGAGGGATAAGGATAGGGAAAGGAAAACAAAAAAGGAAGGGAAAATGGAAGGACACGGGGGGAAAAGCGATGGAACATCGAAAAAGGGAGGGAAAATGGAGAGAAAATTGTTAGGAAAAAGGGGGGGACAAGGGAGGCCCCGACAGAGCGGGCAGGGTATCGGAATACCATCTTATGTACACCGTTTCGCACCCGCCTCTCCGGACCCCCAAGAATTCTCATATATTCCTGAGGGGTTCCTGCGGGTTCGGTTCCAAAGGGTCCCCGATGATTCCCAAGGGAATCCTCAGGATTCCCAGCGGTTCCTCAGGGGGCCCTGAGGATCCCGAAGGTTCCTCAGGGGGTCCTGGGGGCTCCCGAGGGATTCCTACAGATTCCTGGGGATCCGAAGGATTCCGACGGGATTCCTAAGGACCCCTTAGGATTCCGAAGAGATTCCTAAGGATTCCTAAAGGATTACTACTCGGTTTCTCTGGATTCTTGAGATTTCTAAAGTCCTGGGTTCCGCATGCCGCGTTCCTGGATTTCAGATTTCCTACACTTCGGGGGTTCTATAGATTATTTGATTTCTATGGGTCCCAGGAAATCTTCGAGTTTCAACGATTCCTGGGTTCCTGGCGTCTCGGCTTTTCCTCAATTTCTGGATTATGGTGAGTGGTGGCGCAGCGGTGGCCCCCAAAGCGTTGGCTCTCTGACGCTTTTGACGCTCCTGACGCCCTGACGCTCCTGACGCTCCTGACGCTCTTGACACTCTGACGCTCCTGACGCTCCAGGCGTGAGATGCGTCAGAGCGTCAGGAGCGTCAGAACGTCAGGAGCGTCAGGAGCGTCAGAGCGTCAGCAGCGTCAAGAGCGTCAAGAGCGTCAAAAGCGTCAAAAGCGTCAGAGCGTCAGGGAGCGTCAGGGAGCGTCGGAGGCGTCAGGAGCGTCAGGAGCGTCAGAGCGTCAGGAGCGTCAGGAGCGTCGGGAGCGTCAGGAGCGTCAGGAGCGTCAGGAGCGTCAGGGGCGTCGGGAGCGCCAGGAGCGTCAGGGACATCCACAACTTCGGCGCCGCCGCTCGAGACATCCTCACAACTCCAGCGCAGCCGCTCGAGACATCCTCACATCTCCGGCGCCGCCGCTCGAAACATCCTCACAAATCGGGCGCCGCCTCTCGAGACATCCTCACAACTCCGGCGGCGCCGCTCGAGACGTCCTCACGACTCCGGCGCCGCCGATCGAGACATCCTCACAACTCGGGAGCCGCCATTCGACACATCCTCACAACTCCAGCGTTGCCGCGCGCTGTGGGGGCCGCCGCTGCGCCACCCTGGGCTACTTCATTATGGAAGGTCTCCTGCGGCCGAGGCACCTACTGCGATCGCTTGTTGCTCCACCGCCGCTGGCCCCGGGCCAGGGAACGGCCGTGGGCGACGAAAAATGTCGATCCTCGTCTTCCGGACTCGAACCTCCCTGAAAAACTGGCCCGTGGACCTGTCGAGGGGCGCGCTCTGGCCAGATTCGAGGCACTCTCCAGCAGCGGCGGCGAGGGCGTCCCAAGGCGCGGAAGAGGGGGCGAAAGATTTGGACAAGTCTCGACCCTCGAACCTTGACGGAAGGGGAGGACGGGGAGGAGTTGCGCGACGACGACGACAACCCGGGGTAGTTTTTCGTCCTGGATCCGGTTTTGACGGCCCCGGGCCCCGAAAGCGGCCCCCAGAGGACTTAAGCGAACAAGAAGCCTTGAATGTCGAGGATCTACAAAAAAATCGACGACTACTACGACGAAGACGACGACGGCGGCGGCGGCGGCGGCGACGACGTCTTCGGCGGCGGCGGCGACGAGGACCTCTGACGACCTCCGACAGCTCTGGGGAGCCTCCAAGGGCCTCCGGGAGCCCTCGAGGATTCGAAAACTTCCGACGAAACTTACGAGAGCTTCCGAGAACCTTCGGCGACTTCCGACGATCGCCGAAGACTTCCGAAGACCCAACTCTGGGGAAAAGGAAGTCGATTGGGGGGGAAGGCCTCCCAGAGGTATTTTTTGTTCCAGAAAATTCGATTTGTTTTTCAATGTATGCGTTATTTCAGAAACTGGTGATGGTGGATGATTTGTTCTGAAACATCCCCCGTGCGCGCTACGTGTTTGTCCGAAAATTATATTTGGCGCGTTACGTCACGCGTGTGATCGCAAGCGGGCTGATGAGCTCCGCAGCGCGTTGGGCGCGCGCGACGCGAGCGCACTCGCGCGTATGCACGTTTTGCGTTTCTGTTGTGTTTGCGCGGGTGCGCGCGGCCATCGCCAGCGCGCGCGCTTGAGGATCGTCGGCGTTCCGAGCTCAAGTCGCGCGCGTGTCGAGCCATATCATTTTGAGACAAAAATACCGAATGCCAAAATTGCCACGTGCGAGGAAGAGGAAACGGAAAAGGAAAACAAACCTGAGGAGGAGGAGGAAAAGGAGAAGCAGGGAGGAGGAGGAACAAAAGGGGGAAGAGGAAGAGAAAGAGGGGGAGGAGGATCTCGAGGAGGAGGAGGAGGAGGGGGAGGAGGATGAGGAAGAGGAACGATACCGAGGAAGAAAGCCATTTAAGTGTCCGTATTCATTTTAAATACCAGATGCTTACATTATTGTTACCAGCTGTTTGCCTGTAGGATGTCTCCAGCGGGAGCCCTGGTTCCGAGAACTTGCAAATCCCACCAGCCCCCCTGGGCGTCGGTGGTATATAGAATTTCCTCTTCCACCCTTCCTTATTCCCCTTCGGGGAGGGGTTTACCCCTCCCCCTACCTCATCCCCTGGACCTGGACGGGGGGTTCCGCGAGTCGTCGGAGCGTCCACAACGGCCTCGGCGAGGAAGCCAAACTCATTGGTTTTACAAGGGTTTTGCCACCATGTTGGCCTCCTGATGGGGAGGCTGCAATTAGTACCCCCCTCCTGTGATCGATCTCGCCCAAGATGGCCCAAAGATAGCCCCCAAGGCCCCCAAGGGTGTCCCAAGAGGGCCCCAAGCGGTGGCCAGGAAACCCCAAGATGCACCCAGGATGCACCCAAAAGGCTCCCAAGATGCCCCAAGGGACCCCCCAAATGCGCCCAAAATGCTCCAAGAGGTCTCGGCGAGAATGCCAACTCATTGATTCTACGAAGGTCTTAGCCACACGTTGGCCTCTTTGGGGGGGCACTGGTTAAGATGATTCCAAGAGCTCCTGGGCGAGCCGAAGATGACCTCCAAGACGGCTCAGGGTGTGCTGCCCACTGCCCTGATCGAGGCAATTCCTCTGGGCATCGCTTCTAGGTGGGCTGGTGGGGATTCGCGAAACGTCAACAATAATTCACAAGCGTGGCGATCGTGTCGGGTCGGCGAAGCCTCGATCTTAATCAGATGGCGCAGACATCCACGCCTAGTGTTATCAACATGGGCATGTTCGATTGTTCGACTACTCGATTCACCGACGCAGCGTCTGCACTCGTCTCCTGCCGCCGCCCTCGCACCGTGTCGGGGCCGTCCGACACCGAGTTGTTCAACCACAGGCAGATAGATACAGCACAGGCGATGGCCACGAGAGCATGCAGCCGAAAACTCGCAAGTCAGAACGTTGCCCAGCGCTCTCTTGCATACAGCGCGGCGTGCACTAAGAAGCGTTATTGTTCCTCCCCTCCCCATGTTCCCCATCGCTCGATTCCCTCCAGCCCATTCCACCACCACCCAGCATCTCGCATCATTCCCTCTCGAGCCTCACCGTTGGGCTCGAGAGACGCCTGGCGGCATGCGCTTCAAATTAACGTAAATACGTGGATGGTGCTTGAGTTGTACCCTCCTCTCTCCCTCCTCCTGCCCTTCTCCTCGTGCCCTCCTCGTTCTCTCGCTCTTCGTTCCCTCGCTCCTCATGTCTTCCTAGTTCCACTCGTCATAGCACCACCAATTCACTTTGTTTCAGCAGCTGAGCCGCTACGCAAAACAGCGAACTGGCATGGTCGAAATCTCGGAAACGCTCACCCACTCCACACTTCAGTC